ATGAGGAAACTGAGACGTGCGTTAACTAAGTAACTTGCCCAAGGTCACACAGATTAGTGGCAGAGCCAGTGTTTTTTTGTTGTGTTTGTCCTTTATCGTGCCTTGACCCCTGAATCCAAGCAGACTGTTCCAGTAAATTTCCCATTTACACCGTCCCCCACTGTTGGGGGGAGGAAGGAGTGTCTCCGGAGGTTAGATCTATTTCTGTCCTGTTCTTTACCCTGAGCATCCCCCACCCCCAAGAAGCCTCATGCTCCTAAAAGTGGTGTTCACACCCAACATCCATATGACCTCCCATGGTCCACCAGTCCTTGGTTCAACATCTTGTTACTTGGCATCCACATATTTAGACTTTGTGATCATCCATCATCGTCAGCTGAGCTGATTTACTTTCAAGAAGCAGCAGGTTAGAGTGGTAAAAGAAAAACAGACCCTAGGTCTGTACTAGGAGTTAGAAGGTCTCAGTTCTGGTCTTGGCTCTGTTACTAACCAGGCGTGTTTCCTTGAATTAGTCACCTCTGTTCTCAGGGCCTCAGTCTCCTCATCTCTAAGATGAGGGGTGTGGTGGAAAATGATTGTGCTGTAAAAATGGTGAAGGCAGTGGTTTTAGAGAAACTGTGGAAGATCTATATGAGCTGATGCAGAGTAAAGAGAACAGAACCAGATCAGTTTATACAATGTCAACAACAATGTAAAGATGAGAAACTTTGAAATGGTGGAGAACTCTGATAGACACAATGACCCTCCAGGATTCTAGAGGATTCATGACATAGAGGTGACATAGCCAATATGAGAATTTGTTTTGCTTATTTATGCATGTTTATTATAAGAAATTTGTTTTTTCTTTTTAGAGGGGGAGGTAGGAGGAAGAAAAAAATAGATTTGTGTTAATTGAAAAAAATTAATAAAAAAAGACAAAAAAAAGCAAGAGATCTGCTTAGATCATCTCTAATGATCCTTCTAGTTCTAAAGTTCTGTGAATGAATATTTCAATACTACAGGCTATCATAATTTCCTTGGTATGGGTATTCCTTGTAGTAAAGCAGATAGCAGCCTCCCATGCCTCATGAACACATGGTCCTCATGGGTTCCTTATGAGCTTGTCTGTTCTTCTCTGGGCTGGTCCTCATTTTATAGGTGGAGAGGTCCCCACCATTAGCATGCCTGTACTGACCCCTTCCCAGCTTGCTGTCTGCTGGACTTTGTGTTTGGCTCTGTAGGCACTGTTTTTAAGACACCAGGGTCACTCTAGCCCTTAGCTTAGTCTCTTCCACCCCCTCCCCAGTTTATTCAGCGAATGACTTTGAGCAGGTTCTTAGGGAATGATCAGTAGAGGACAGGGGAGTTGTACAGTAAAAAGAGCCCAACTCTAGAGTAGGAGAACTTGGGTTTGAATTCTGCCTCTTTTGCTTGTTACCCGTGTGGCAATGTGCAAGCTGCATAGCCAGGCTGGGCCTCAGTTCCCTTGTCTGTAAAATGAGCAGGTTGGATTCATTGCCTGGGCCCTGAGGTCTCTTTCAGCTATAGATCTGTGTTCCTGAAGCATTTATCTGGTTATGTAGAGAAGGCCCAAAGACACCCTGCTTGGAGTCACAGGTGTATTCTTGAAAGGAACAGCCTCCTTAGGCACCTAGGCACACTGCTGCTGAAATCCCCGCCCATCCCTTGGTGCCTAGCTCAAATGCCACCTCCACAAGTTAATTGAAGAAGCATTTATTAAGATCTGTTAATTACCTCTCTCTACCCACTTCTCCACATAACTCTGTTCAGTGCACTTACCAAGTTCCATTTTGTATTAAAACTATTTGGTTATGAGCCAGTGAAGGGCAATGATGGTGTGTAATTTATCCATGTATCTCTCCCAGAACTGAGCAGCACACTGCATTGCACGTAGGAAGTGCTTGATAAATGTTTGAATTAAATATCATGTAATATTATCAGACTGACTTTCCCTCTCAGTCATTCTGAATTAATGAGGTCTTGCCAATTTGAGAAAATTAAACATAGCAGAATTTTGGTGGGCTAGGGGAGGAGGAGGGTTGTGGAATCTCGGCTGGAGACAGCTGCAGATGTGTGGAGACCCCTATGTCCTTGGCACCATCTCTGCTGTTGTTCCCTATTTGGAACGAGTCGGTAACTACATTGTCCATCATTGATCCAAACATGTCAACTGAAAGCCAGCTATTTACTTGGAAAGGGGGAAACAACCTCATGGTCTCAGGGAAGGAGATGAGCTGCCTCTTTCACTCCTCTCTCTCCCCTTCCCTGAGCAGTAAGCCAGGAGAGTAAGGGCTTCATGTTTAGACTGGCATAAAAGGAAGTGGAATTTGCCTGTTGAATTTAGTCATTGATCAGTTCCTTATTGGCTGCATGATCTGAGGGCAAAGGTCTCTTCTCTAGAGAAAATTGAAACTCTCTGGAGGAAATTAAAATAAAGAAAAAGGAGAGGGTTTACTGACTTGCCATTTTATTTTATTATCTATCTATCTATCTATCTATCTATCTATCTATCTATCTATCTATCTATCTATCTATTTTTTGTGAGGCAATTGGGGTTAAGTGGCTTGTGCCAGGTCAGAGTTAGTAAGTGTTATATGTCTGAGGCGGGATTTGAACTCAGGTCCTCCTGACTCCAACCCAAGGCCAGTGCTCTATCCACTGCACCACCTAGCTGCCCCTTGACTTGTCGTTTTATAGAATTATGGACTCTCCGAGTTGGAAGGCACTTGAGGGGTTTTTAGTATTATCTACTCCAACCCAAACCTGAGCAGGAATTGTTTCCCCCCACCCCCACCCCCCAAATCTGACCTTACTCCATCTCTCCGTAGCAGGGAGCAGGGAGAGGTAGGCACTGGGAGGTAGGAGACCTGTGTCAGAATCCGGAATCTTCCAGGGCCAAGTCCTATTAGCAAGAATCCATTTTTTTTGTCCTTCCAGATTTGTGTTTTACAAAGTTCTTCCCTCACAGCAGTATTGTGAGGCTTTGAGTACTGTGTTTTTATCCCCATTTTACATATGGGGAGGGGGGTGGAGAAGGCTCAGTTAAGGTCAGTAGGCATTTATTAAGCACTGTGTGTCTGCAGGTACTCTGCTAAGTGCAGGGGCTATAAAGACCACAAACCTTCCCTGCCTTCAAGGAGCTTACCTGCAGCTGTTGAGGGAGCTGGGAGATTGGCATATGCACGGACAAGGAAATTGTCAATACAAAGTCATGGAAGCTGGGGACCAGTTCATGGAGAGGGAATCTCCAGGCCCAGGGTCACACTGCTACTGTGTCCAGACTAACCTTAAGCCCGGGGCTGCTCACGTCTGGGCCTCCTGTGGATCTCCTGGCATTATAGTGTACCTGATAACCAAGCCTACCTAAGGTCTGAGCTACGCTCTCACTCACTCACAGACTCCTGGCTTTCATTCTGAATTTAAAGGAATTTAAAGGAGAGGAAAATCGCTTTGGTAATGTCATTGGGAAGAAATAGCCAGTTGTCATCCAGGCCTTTGGGGAAGTCTCTACTGTATTTGTGCTGGTCCTGGAGCTGGTACATCTTAGATGACTTGGGTGTCTGCTGGTTCCCTAGCCCTGAATCCTGGAGGCCCCATCCCCAGCCCTGCTGTGGGGCCAGAAGATGGAGGGCAAGGCCAGGCTGGTCCTGCCTGCCAGGCCATCCCTCAGCCCGGCCAGGGTTGGCACCTCCATTTCAGTGTCCAGGGAAGGGTCCTTCTTGTAGTCTGACCATGAAGAATGTGGGGGTCATGTCCAGCCTGGTGGGGCAGAAGTACAGGAAAGTGCCTGCTTGTGGTGGCACATTGTCCTGAGTGTGGGCACAACTTGGGCAGCCAGAGTGATGCCTCGCTCCTTAGGGCACAGAGCCCTTTCACACAAATGGGCTCCTAGCCTTGCTGACTGGCCTGCTAGTCACCCTTGTTTCCCATTCACTTCCCCTCAGTAGGTGATGCCCAGATGTTGATTTCTATCCCCAGCCTGTCTCTGAGCTTGAGACCCAGTCACCCATTAAGAGGACAGCATGACCTAATAGAAGGAGCCCTGGACAAGGAGTTGGGAGAGCCACGCTTAACATTTATCAGAGGTGGCAATGAGAGTTCTGGCCTTACTCAGGGTACTTCCCACCACCTCCCACTCCCCTGGGCCTTCATTGCATATATATTTTTTTTTGATTATGGGATTGGACTTGATCCTTAAGTCTCTTACAACTCTTAGTATCCTTTGTCCTCCCCCATTTTACCCAGAGCAATAGAGATCCTTTTTACCCTGGTGGTCACAGTTCCCATTTAAATGGAGCCTTGGGGTTTAGAAGGCACTCACCTCACCTGTGGACAGTCCACTGTAATGGATAGGAAGTTTCCCCTTATGTTTAGGGTAGTGAGTGTGGTCTGAGTGCACTGTGCCCCTGAGCGAGCCTTTGCAATCTCTTCCTTAGGGTTCCAGGGGTACTCCTAGGGGTTGGGATGTCTGTATTACTAATGCTGCGAGTTCCTCTACTGATTGCCAGCGGTGACTAGCACCCTAGTTCCATGTAACTACTTAAGGCCTGAGGCCCGATTGGCATTCAGGGCCTCCTGACTTTAGGCTTAGTGCTGGCTCTGCCAGCTACAGCAAGGAGGGCAGTTTTGAAAGTAACATGTGGAATTAATTGTATGCGGGTTTTTTTTCAAAAGTAAGCAATATGAAATGGAAATTCATACTTTAATACATAACTTCAGTTGTGTATTTCTGTGTATATGGAAATATTCTTCTCTGGTTTTTAATTTCAGAATTTTAAAAAATCAGATGAGGTAATTTTCAAATGGGGAGGGAAATTAGGGAAAGCTTCATGGTGAAGGTGACATTTAAACAGTACTTTGAAGGATAGCTTGAGTGACAAAGTGAACAGCAACGTGAAAATATGGGATTTGTTTGTGAACGAAATTATTTGTGCTGAAATACAGCGCTGAAGATTCTTTGGAAATTGTATAAACCAGAATACCTTTTTTCTCCCATGCAGATACTTAAAGCTTTCACCAAAGCACCCAGAGTCAAACACCGCTGGAATGGACATCTTTGCCAAATTTTCTGCATTTATTAAGAATTCAAGGCCAGAAGCTAATGAAGGTAAAAAAAAGTACTAATTATTATGATAATAATGATGATGATGATTATAAGTGAGTACTTTGAATCCAAAGTGTCTTATGACTTCTTAAAAGCTGTGTTTCTAAGATGATTACCAATGTAGATGAGCCCCTTTTTTATTTCCATAAACCAGCCATGACCTTTTAGTAGGAAGCTGCTCTAAAGGTAAAGCTAGTGCAAAGAATTTGGGATTCGATGGAAACAGCACTGGCCTGGGAACCCAGCTGCCCTAAATTCTAGCCCCATCTAGCTCCCACAGTTCATAAAGTAGGTTGTGTTTAAAAATGTGAAAACTCTTCTTAGCCTGTGGGCTGCACCAAACCTGACAGCATCCCCTGAATTAGAATCCTCAGCCTTGAGAGTGGTATGGTTATGACTGGCTTTGGTAGCAGGTACTGGGGTTCAGCTCCAAGCCTGAGCTAACTGTTGACTGAATCCAGCCTGAGCGAGAATCAGTCAGACCAGCAGTTGGCCTGGTCAGCCTGTTGGGCTGTGTGAAATTAAGCTTTGCCCCCGCACGCACACAAATTTCTCACCCATGTTAAAGGTAAAAATTTTGAGGATCCTCTTTTTTTCTGTGATGACAGTTTCTTAGAGTTAAATGCCAATACGGTATCTTTTAAGAGGGTTTGTGAATGAAGTTTCTGGGATTATGGAATATGAGAGTTAGAATTTAGAACAAGAAGCTCTTGTAGCTTCATATTGAACCCCTTCATTTGCAGAGGAGGAAACTGAGGCCTGGAGAGGGGAGGCTCCTGGCCCAAGGTCCCCTAGCTTGTCTGAGGACAGCACTGGGCCTTTCTGCCTCCCAGGCCGGTGCTTTGTCTGGTCTACCCCAGCTGTGGTGGTCTTCTCCCTGCCCCGCCTCCATTTTGACACACAGACTTATCCTGTGTAAAGTTAACTGGTTCTTCCAAAGCACTAGTTCCATAGGACCGGTGTTACGGCAAAGATTAAAAACGTGTCTGTGGAGTTTGGTTAAAGGAGGTTGGTGACGTATGCAGAGACGTCTGGGGGGGAGTGGACAGGGTGTTATCTTGGGGGTTGGGAGCCCTAGGAGACAGTCCCAGCTCCCCTGCGGTACCTTGGGTGAGTCACTCCAATGCCTCAAGCCTCAGTTTCTTCCTTTGTAAAAAGGGGGAGTTGGACCAGCTGATCTTTAAGGTCCCTTTCAGCTCTAAATCCTGGGACCTGAAAAAATGTTCGTAAATCTCAGTTTTGTGGTTTTCACCTCCTGTTCCTCTTGTAAGGCCCCTGGCATGGGCAGCATTATTGTTGGTCAGGACAGACTCAAATCAGCTCTTTTCATCTTAAACTATAAACACTCAGCTTCATCCAGAGGATGAGCTAAGTAGGGGCCCTCTTGGGTGCCAACTTCTGGCATCATCCCTGGCCATGAATGGATTGAAGATGCTGAAGAGTGGGGCTGCTCACAGGGAGCGAGGGGCTGGCTTTTAAAGTAAGCTTGGCCCTGTCACTTGCCAGTATTGGCTCTCAGGCCCCTCCGTGGGCGGGCAGACATCCAGACTAGGTGGGCGGTTCTTGTCTTGATTATTAAGTAGTGTTCGTTTTGTTTAGGACTTCTCAATTTGGGGATTGAAGCTCAGCCTTTATTTAAGAAATCCATTTCATGAGATGTTTTCCCATAATCAGAAGAAAAGGAAAGAGTTTCTGGTGGCCAGCCTCACTCCCACTTATTAACCTTGTTCTAATAGCAGCTTGGGTTTGAGTCATTCGCTGACTAACATTGGCCTTTCTGATGAGGGTTTGTGTGCCGACCGCTCTGCAGACATGTCTGCCAGCCCCCCTTCACACCCTGGGCTTGCTGGGCCTCACCCACCCCACCCATCTTCTGCTAGCATGTCAGGCCCCTTCACAGACTTAGCTTTGGACCCAGAGCTGTTCCCTGCAGCTTCGGCCCTCTTGTCATCCCCTTCTCTTCTCTGTGAGAGTCCAGTGCAAGGCACCTGGCTTTCATTCCCAGCACTGACACTGACTAGAACTTTGGGACCATGTACATGGGACCTCAGTTTCCTTATCTGGAGGAGGAGGCTTCATTAAGATCCCCTTCAGTTAAAGAATTCTATGATTCTTTTCATTATTGTCCAAAATTTCAGCTGTTCAGCCTTCCCTTTTTCACATTTTAATTACTTTGTCTGACTACTGGGATTTTAAAATGGTGTTTATGGTTTGGAGTGTAGTTGGATTTCATCTGATACTAAAAAGAAAGCCTTTTCCCACCTTTAGAAAGAATTCCCTTTGGGGGAAGGTGGGGAGGAAGTGACTCATGTGACTATAGGTTCTACCATATTCTATTCCCCCTGCCCCAGATTAGTGTGCTGCTGCCTGAAGTCGATTGCGGCCCCCCCCCCAAAGGACTGAAAGGCCTTGATATTCAGTTACCTATTAGTAAATAAGAGTGCACAGTTGCTAAGTAACCTCCCACCCCAGGGACCTGTTAAGTGCAGCGAGACTTCAGAAAACAGTCTTCTGGCCCACTCTGGGGTGGAACAGGGCTCCCTCGTAGACTTTTGTTTGAAGGTCTCTCTTTTCTAAAATGCAACTAGAATCCTTTCGTGAGCTGAGCAGTCCAGGAATTCCCAGAGCCCTCCCCATCCCCAAGCACAGTCTGAAGGATGTCCTGCGTTCCTGCAAAGCTTCGAGGTGTGCTGGGCGGATGGCTGTCCTGAAACAAGACCCTAAAACTTTAATGAAAGAATGAAGCCTTGTCTGTGCCTCAGATAAAGAAGCCTTGTTTTTGTGTGATGGCCTGTAAACTGGTAAAGGTCTTTCCTCATGGGTTCAGATCCTGCTTCTGATACATGGGTGGTCCTGGGTAGGTCCTTTCCCCTCTCTTGGACTCAGTTTTCCTCATTTGTAAAATGAGAAGTTGGACTGGAGGGCCTTGGAGAGACATCCAAGTGTCCCCCACCCCGGCCCTTCACCACGTGATTCTCTTTAGCCCAAGTGAACAAGGAGCTCTTGTCTGCGCCTGACATCCCCCTCCAGGCCTTTGTCCAGACTCCTTCTGGAGCGCTCCCCTTCCTTCGCTCAGGTTTTCTGCACACTTCTCATCTCTCCCAGCTCCGCTCCAGTTGGTTGTTACCTTGTCCAGCTTTCCGTCACGTCTCTCCCTCTGCATGTAGCATTGCTAGAGCCGTTCCGTGGATCTCTTCTTGACCCTCATCTCTCTCAGCTTTTGATTGTCTATCTTGTGATGCATGTGGTGTCCCCATGGGTAGAATGTGAGCTCCCTGAGAGTAAGGACTGCCTTAGTGTATCTCCACCACCCACACTAGGTGCTTAATACATGTTAAATAAAGAGTTTTGACACAAGAGATCACGTTAGTCTTACTGAAGGGTTACAGAGAGATGCAGCCCCTCTCTGGGCTGGCACTAGTGTGTCCTTGCCTGGAAGCAAAGGGATGTACCACATATTACGATTTAGGAACAGACATTGGGTTCATCTAGTACTCCTTTATTTTACAGAGGAGGAAACTGGCCTAGGGAAGGTAAAGTGACCAAGTCACATTTACATTTATAGAAATGGTAGAGCCGAGATTCGAATCCATGTCCTCTGACTCCAAGTCTGGCGTCTTTCCTGCTGCACCATGTGGCCAGTTACTCCCTCTGAGCCAGACTTGGTGCTGAGCCCTGGGGTTGCCACAGAGGGCAGAGGGTGCCTGTCCTCAGGGAGCTGACTGGTCCATTCAGGCTCTGCCTTGCACTGCTTACAGGGACATTGGCCACTCTTTGAGAGGCTCTCTGGCCATTTCCTGCCTGAAGTAGGTGGTGGCACTGTACCTCTTCCCCTCCCAACTCTTGAGGTGACTCATGGGGGATGTGGTGCTGCCCAGGCAGCTGTGGAAGCAGCCATGGCCAGCGTCCCCACCGTTGTGTCACCTGGCCTTTAAGGAGGTGGTCCATCCTTGCCCTTCACTCTTCAAAACCAAACAGAACCCTGGTGGAGTGGGGTGGGGGTTGTGTTCCATGTTTGCCAAGTGCTTGTGTTTATTTTTAACCAGGAGGTGTGAGGATTCTCATGGACTGTAGGCTGCTGGAATGTGGTCCATAGAAAGGAGCTGCTCAGAGCTCTCCAGGCCTCTCACCCCCCCCTCAGAGTCTTTATCATGCCCCTCTTGAAATCTGCCCCAGCAAACAGAGGCATCTGTCCTGTACACTGAAGAGTTTGGTTCGGGTTTTTTTCTGGGTCTGGGAATAGTGTGTGGACACCAAGGCCTCATTCCAGCCTTCCTCTGTGTGTTATGTGCCCACCTCCTTTTCTAGAACTCCATGTTGTGAATGACTTTTATACCCCTAGTGCTCACGTGGGTCTTTATCCTTTGGTGACTTGGAGCAGAGATGCTAGGCAATAATAGCTGTGCTTTGGGCTAATTATTACAAAGGCCATCCACCAGCTAGAGGCCTGTTATAAGTCTTCTCACCCTGGTTGACTTTTAAATGATAGAATTGCCTACTTGTGAAGCAGTGTCCTGCCATGGATAGAAGGCTATCCTGGGAGGCAGGAAGCCCTGGGTTCAAGTCTTCCCTCAGGCACATCCTGCCCCTGTGGCTGTAGGCGAGGTGCTGAATGTCTCAGGGCCCCAGGAAGCTCCCCAAGACTTCTGAGTTCTGGAGAGCTGTTGATTTGGGTTGGTGGAGGGAATGTCCTTAATCCCATGAAATCTTAAGTTGACACTGTCCTCCACCCCCACCCCAACTGCCTATGACAGAAAATGTCCCTTTGTAAGTGGTTCATGCGTCCTGCCCCTGCCAAGCCCCGGTGCTCTCTCCATTGACCAGTCCTTTTCCTCTCTCGGTGCCCCAGGAGGACACTTGGAGGCTTGAGGTGGCCAGCGGGTTAGTGCCAGATGTGAAACTCAGGTAGGAATGGGGCTGCAGACTGGATGTAAAGACCACCATGCTGCACGTGGACTTCGAAGATCACATTTGAGTACTGTTGATGTCTTAGTGTATTTTTGTTTATTCTGTTAACTGTTTCCCAATGCCATCTTGATTGGGCTCAGGAAACCTGGGAGGTGTCAGTAGGTGGGCGGGGTGTTGGATGCCTCGGGGCTAGAGAGGTTTTTCACGAGGAGCTCCCAGTGAAGAGGAAGTCCTAGGTCTGGATCCCCGTCTTCCCCTCCCCCAAAGCTCATTGTCTTCTAATCTCTGTGTTCTTGCCACTTCCTCTGATAAGCAACTGAAAGGCACTTTGTCACTGTGAGCTTTTCTCTGGGCAGAAGAGATTGATGTTGCACAGATGTTGTTTTGGTTTAAAGAATAGTGGGTGGAGGCCTTTAGGAAAGCTGAGAGCCAGGAATATGGAAGGCCCTTTTTTAGGGGGACACAGGAGAGGGCAGGCTGAGCAGTAGGGTCAATGCCTCCATGTTCCCCATCCAGGCCTCTCTCCAGAGGCCATACTGCCTCCCACAAGCTCCAGTGTGCCCAGTCCAAGCGGGGTCTCCCTCTGCTCTGTCCTCAGCAACTCTGGTGGTAATCAGTGACAAAAACCATCTTCCAAAAGGCCAAGCATCTGCGAAGTAAAACACCCCCCATTCACTTGGGGAGACCAAGGGAAGGAGTGTCAGATGGACGGTGCATTCTTAACAAAACGATTATAAGGCTAGAATTAAATGGGGATGGAGATAGGACTGAACTGATCATTTCATTGCTGTAGGGCAGGGTATTCCCAGGGGAGGAAACTCCTTCTACTGGAGCAGAGGCATCTCTGCTCCATCCTGAGGGTCACACAGCCCGATGTGTCAGAGTAAGGACTCTAATCCAGGCCTTCTTGGTTCTGAGGCCAGCTCTCCCTCTATGAGGCCATACTGCCTCTTTCTAGAGGGTTATTTTTTTTGAATTGGAGAATTAGAAGGGAACATTCTCATCTTAAGAGAAGGGAGGGCCCAAAGTTGGTCAAAAACTGTGGGCTTAGGATCAGAGCATGTAAAAATTGGATTGAACTTCAGAAATCATTTAGTCCATTTTGTAGAGGAGAAAACTGAGGTTCAGGGAGGTTCAGCATCTTGTTGTGAGGTCATATCTGTCATCAGTGGCAGAGCCCAGGCTCAAGAGCTGGATTTTCCAGGCTCTTTACAACATACAATGGGGCCTTTCTCACTCAGGTAGCTTCCCGGCATCACTGTCATAGCCGAGAGCTGCTGGCCTGAGATGTGCTAGTTATGTTCCAGGGTAGGAAACATTAGACCCTTCCCAGGCTGGGATTGGACCAGCCAGGCAGACTGGCCTTCCTTAGCTCTGCATTTCTCCTGGTAGCCGCTCACTGATGCTACCTCTGATGGTGGTCAGGGAGCCACTGGCCCGTTCTGCCCATAGCCCTTGGGTCCTAGCAGCTCTTCTCTCTCAGATGTTTGTGTGGTCAGCTGTCTGGGGTACTGCCTGTTCTCTGTAGAAACCTTGTTTTCTTCCCTGTTGTTTCTTCTGACGAAGGCATTTAGCTTTACGTGTGGGAGGAGGGCACAGTCAGCTGCCTAGTTTGAATAACTAACTGTGTATGGTGTCAGGATACCCTCCACCATGCATTGATTAAGTGTTTGCATCCATCATTGGTCACTGCTCAAGACTCAGCTGCTACCTGCCAGAACCGTGGAGTCCCTGAGTCCTGTGCAGTCCTATACCAAGACACACTCTGCCAGCTGGGCCTTCTGCAAGGTAGGATGTGATCCAGGGAAAGAGGAGATCCCCCCAAGAGCTATAGGAAGATTGAGGAGAGGGAGGCCACTGTTAGATAGGAAGAAGGAGAGTCTTCCTGGGGGAGGTATCACCTGGGCGGGGCCTTGGAAGAGAAACATTTCATCAGGTGTCTGTGGGGGTATGGGGGACGTGCTGCAGGCCCTGGAAATGGTCTGTGTGATCATAGGCCTTTGGGGAGGAAGGAGGAGGCCAGCATGGTCAGAACAGGGAGTGAGACAGGAATTAATGGGAAGGAGGACACAGCCAGAGGCGGGAGGGCCAGGAAGGCCTTTGTGCTTGCAAGAACAGTAATAGTCTCCATTGCCCCATAGGTCTTTGAGCTGGGTTTCCTCCTTTCCCTGTTTTGAGCTCTCTTCTTAACCTAATGTTGTTCTGTTATATTTAGTGATCTCTAGTGCCCTCTGCTGCCTTCAAGAGAAATAAAGGTGCTGCTGTTTTCACTTCCTCCGCTGGTCCCTGGGTCTGTTGTCTGTTATCATCAGAATGGCGGGAGGGGGAAAAGGGGGAAGCAAGAGGGGAGAGTGACGTTTGTTTGAGGGCAGCATTGTCGGCCAAACCACGCCTTTCAGGAGTAGCACGGGCTGTTTGGGAGCTGTGACTGTGGGCAGAGCCCGGGGACGCAGAACTAGATTCTGACATCACTTCCAGCTCTTGTTGTTAAGTCATTTCAGTCATGTCCGATTCTTCATGGCCCCATTTGGGGTTTTTGGCAATGATACTGGAGTGGTTGCCATTTCCTTCTCCAGTTCATTTGACAAATGAGGAAACGGAGGCAAACAGGGTGAAGTGACTTGCCCAAGGTCACACAGCTAGTAAAGTGTCTGAGGCTGGATTTGAACTTAGGTCTTCCTGATTCCAGCCCCAGCGCTCTACCCACTGTACCACTTAGCTGTCCACTTCTAGCTCTGTCCTGTGATTCTGCTCTCTAACGTTGCTTATTTGGTTTGTTTGTGTTTAGCATCATGCATTTAAAAATGTATTTTGTAAAGTCATGTATTTCAGAAGAGCATAAAGTGGGAACGAGGAAAAAGAATGCCTACCCACTGTAAATGAGCGCAGAATGCTTATAGGTGCCCATGTTCTTGCTCATTCCTACTTTATTATCTTCATACACTGGCATTCCCCTTCCCCAGGTTGAGCGCTAATGGCATTAGGCCGTAGTGTGTTTATCTACAGAGAAATTGCCAGCGTCTGCTGCATTCCTCTTAAAAGCACGATGTTCCCTTCCTTCTTACAGCATTGGAACGAGGTCTCTTGAAAACACTGCAGAAACTGGATGACTATCTGAATTCTCCCCTTCCTGATGAAATCGATGAGAACAGCATGGAGGACATCAAGTTTTCCACCCGTAAATTCCTGGATGGCAACGAGATGACATTAGCTGACTGCAACTTGCTGCCCAAACTGCACATCGTTAAGGTGAGCCTGTCGCGTCTGCCCCTGGCGCTGGGCTGGACCCTCATCTCCCTCCGTTAGAGGGTGTCCTCAGGGAGCCCTAAATGGAGGTCTCAGACAAGCAGAGGCTGACTCAGTAGTAAGAAAACTTCCTAATGATTCACCACGTCTACAAGTATAAAGGAGTGCCCAAGGGGGCACATGGAAGTCCAGGTGGTGTTCTCGCCATCCCATAGGTGAGAAAGTCCAGCGGCAGAGGGGGTGGACACTTGGCCCAGAGCTGTGGCCCTTCCCCCCGGTACTCTGCTCTGCCTTTCCCTCCCCCATCCCCTTCACGAGGTCCTCCAGGAAGAGCTGTGCAGTCCCTCAGACGGGAGGCCACAAGGAGAGGTCCTGGCTTTGCAAGGATAGAGATGAGTGCATGTACTTATCCCTGTCATAAGGGATGCCCAGGCCCTGCTACTTGTTGATGGAGCTGAGCATGCCCAGAGGAAAGGTCACCCTAGCCCTGTTTTCTTTGTGTTTACTGCAATGATGCAGTTTAAGTTGTGGCATGAGGTGGGAAAAAGGCCCTGAATTTTGAGTCAGAGGACCTGGATTCAGATTCTGGCTCTGCATGATCAGATGCCTACCTTTCTGGGCTGGATCCTCCTCTGTAAAAGGAAGGGATTAGATTAGATAGTCTTACTTGAAGAGTTTTCAGCCCTGGATCTATGTATGTGAGGGCCAGGGGTGAACTCGTGGACAGAGGGAACGTGGTCCCACTCCCAGCTGACTGTGTGGTTTAAGACGGAGCTGGGCTCACTGCCCTGGGTCATGGATTCCTCAGCTGCCAAATAAGGGTTAGAGGTGAGGGTGATGCTCAAAGGTCCCTCCCAGATCTGGCGCCCTGGGCTCCCCGAGAAATGCACATCAGCGGATTGGATTTGGGATCTATTTTTAGTATGCTATTTCTGCAAATGTGTTTTTCTTACGTGGGATTCCCCCGTGACCTGCAGGAATAAATCTTGATTCTGAATGGGAAAAGCTATGGAGTGGTAATCGTTACAACACACCATTCCAAATATATCTTTTCCTTTCCTGTTTCTCCATCTCGCCCCATGCTTAGATGTCCAGGGGCAAGCATTTGTGCTTGCACATGACTCTTTGGGGCTCCTGCTGGCACAGAAGGAACCACATTTCTCCAAGCAGAATCAAGTCTGGAGGATCCATACAATTAGTACTTGAATGTGGAGGACAACAGAAAAGTGGTTTATCTTTTGATACTGGAGTACTTCAAGAATGTGTGTGGGTGCTCCATGCTTCCCAGCCCTGGAATAAACAGTCTTCATGAGTTGCTGTGGTTAAAAAAGCAATTTACCTTCTGCTAGCCAGCTCCCTGACCTGGAGCCTTTCCCCGTCAGTGCTGACCCACCTCTGTAAGCCTTTTTTACTGGCCTGACCAGCCAGAGCTTGTGCTGCCCTGGCATGGCCTTGGAGAATCCAGGGCTTCTCCATGCTGTGGAGGTGGGGTGACATGGGAGGAGGACTTTAATGGACATGGGAAAAGCGAGTCTGCTAACTTGGGCTGTCGGTGTGTTTTTGTGTTTTAGGTGGTGGCCAAGAAGTATCGCAATTTCGTCATCCCGAAGGACATGAGTGGCATCTGGCGCTACTTGACTAACGCGTACAGCCGGGATGAGTTCACCAACACCTGTCCTAGTGATAAGGAGGTGGAGATAGCATATAGTGACGTAGCCAAAAGACTCACCAAGTAAAACAGCCTCGGGAGAGGGATGGGCTTCCCGTCCTCCCCCTTTAACAGAACACGCTTCTTAACAGAATACTGCTCCTCTTCCTATCACATAGAGGTCATATTGTGCATGAATATGCAGTTACTCAAAATTAGGATAAAGGATAGACCAGGTACAGTAGCTATGAAAAATATACACTCCTACGAAGTGTTGAAGTGGTCTTTTTTGGTGTGTTTTTTTAACCCCATTTTTTCCTGCCCCCTCCAAATTCTGTTGAGTTTGGAGACATTCCATAACAGCAATGTATTCATCTATAGGCGGTTATCATCTTTTCAGGGCACTCACTCTTGTGTCTGTTCCATGTGGGTGGCACAGAGTTACAAAGAATTGGATTTACCTTTATTAAAGTGGTGATGGGAACTTCACAAGGCAGCCCCGAACTATCAGACCCTTGATACGTGCTCCATGGAATACGTCTGGATTTGGGCTTTCTGAATTGTTAGCCAGATTGCGCAGAAAGGCTGCTCCTCCATCAGCGTCCAGCTGTACCCCTCCAGGCTCCCTGAATCTGTATGAAAGGAGACCCTTTTACAGACTAGCCCTCCCCAGCCTTGTTTTGTGCAGGAATCTTTTTTCTTCTTTGTTCTCCCTAAAAGCATTTATCGATTTCTTTATTCTGGTCGTAACTTCTCTGACAAAATAGTACAAACAGAATGTTTGTAGGGAGAGTTGGTGGTGCTGAGACCTTCCCAAAATATTGTATCATCACGATAGGAGGAGCACATGGGCATCTGGTATCCTTCAGCTCAATCTAACTTTGCATTTTTAGTCCCAACAGTAGAGCCTGACACCATTGGTTTGGAAACAGTACTGAATTCTCCAGTTTGGTTTGAATTGAAATTGGCTTCTTCAGAGGTGGCCAAGAACCTTTGCTCTTTATAGGTCTTTTGTGAAAATTTCTATGAGTAAATTCACTCATAAACTAGAATCTTGGTGATGTAGATAGAGACACCGTGTAGACAGAAGTGCAGTGAGCTGCAAGGTGAGCCTGAACACTTAAGGAAGGCTCAGAGGGGCCCCTCGGGAAGTCTCTGATTTGGTTTGGTTTGGTCTGGGGAGTGTATAGGCTGAGTGACCTTGCCTGAAGCGACAGGAGGCACCATTGTAGATCTCCCTGTCCCGGCCCAGGAGAGAGGCATGATCATCCCCTTGGGGACGTCATCGAAGCCACCGCCAGTGTGTGCCTGAGCACAGGGAGATAGCAGTCTGGCATAATCGTGATCTTGGCTCTTCTGTGAATCGTCTCACTGCAGCCACACTGAGAAATAGCATAAAAACCACCGAGACCACCCCAGAAAGAATCGACTTTCTTCTAAGTTAAGGGTCAGTTTTGTTTTCCTGAGAGATGAAAAGCAAGTGGGTTAGGGGCAGGGTTGGGGACATTTGCAGTGTTTATTAATCTAATTATTTTTAAAGCTGGCATGAGTGCTGCTCCAGAGAGTATGACTATGGTTAGAAAATGATCTGGTAACAGCTTTCTATATTTTATAAAACCTGGCAGTGCTGTTTCTGCTAGGCTGTATTGTGGGGATTTTCAAACACACGGCTTAAAATGGCGACACTCTCCCCCTTCTATATGCTGACGTTTCATAGACGTTGGCTTTATGGGAGCAGCCTGACTCTTCAAAGTATCCTGCATTTTCATTTTTTTGTGCTACTTTACATACCATCAAGGTAACTCGGTATAGGAAAATAACAACAACAAAAGGTCTGTTTTGTGTCCAGTTGGCTCAGAAAAATGCCTCGGTTTCGCCTTGCTTATTAGCCCTGCTGCAGATCAGGTGTTGGCAAATGGGTTGGGGGTTTTTTCCTGTCTCAAAAACCATGCATGGAGACTCTTGCAGTTCCAGAAGAAAAAAAACTGCAGATCAGTTCTTGAGGACTGATGGGCCCTTCTCATGCGCCCTGGGTTAGAGGGCCTGTCTGCCCCCGGGCACCCCCACAAACCATCACCCTCCCTTGTGGGTTGTGGCATTGCCCCTCCCATGAGGCATAGGGGGTGGAGGAAGGAGGCAGGGAATGGGAGAGCAAGGGAGAGAAGGGACATCAGATTATTTCTAGGCAAACTGAGGGCTGATAAAGGGAGAGAGGTGGTTTCATGGTTGCTGTGGCCAGAAGCTGTGAGTTCTTTGATCACACTCGGGTAAACTGGTCCTTGAATCCCAGCAGATGCAGTCATGTTGTCGCCAGGTTAGTATAGGACTGGCCAAGGCTTGTGTCCCCTGGGCACAGCTTTGGAGAGCCCGGGGTCACTTCTAGTCTGCAAAAGGAGATAAGGAGACAGTGAAAGAGGGTATTGCTGGTGAGAGAGCCTCTTCATTCTTTGTAGTAAATCCAGCCTTTTCCATCACCTCTGACCCGCCCTTCTTCGAGGGAACTTAACTGACCCGATGTGACTTACGCTGGATCTAGATATCTTTATGTAAGAACATATGTTTCATCACTTTTAGCTCTCTGTCTAAACAAGGATATTATGTAGTCCAGGAGAGTTGAGACTTTGGTAAATAAATTCAAGCTGAGAAACAACAAAATTGTAGGGCTGTTGTCCATAATCCTAGTCATGAGCCTTCTGCCATGCGTCTGGCCTCTCTCTGTCACCAGAGGTGCATGGCATTTACCTTGTCATGAAGGTTACTGTTGAAAGGATCAGTCCTGGGTGAAAGCGCAGCTTGGCCCTTGGGTGTCTCCGCCATCAGACTCTCTCCCCTGGATCCCCCCCCATGTATGCAGAGCCTCAGGAGGGAGCCCCGCTGTCAGATGCACCTGGAGGCTCTCCCCACTCTCGGTGATGCTGGAGGGTGGTTCACGCTCAGCCCAGAGGAGCCTGAGCACCTGCCTGGAGTGGCCTTTTCGTGAAGTATAGTCTGCCTGTGGCCCCCAGCCTGTCAGCTTTTGTAACGTATTTCCTGACTAGACCTTCTCTTTAAGGCCCGCGCCCCTGCAGAGACGGAGGACTCTGTCCATGGCAGGGCCTCCTCATCTTGTTCTTGCCCTGCTGTTGTTGAGTTTCCCTGGAGCTAAATGCAGTCGTCGGATCGTTTTTATTTCCCTGTAGCTAACATCCATTTAAAAACTAGCCAAAAAAGCAAAATTTAGAACCAATAGATGTCTGTTTTGTTTTATGCCTTTTTTGATGGCTTTGATCATCTTGTGGTTAAGTGTGCTGATGAACCCATTTCTTGTGCTATTTATAATCAGCATTTGATTTCAAAGAGAGGTGAGTTTGTCATGCTGTAGGTGCCATACCTCAGCCCTCCATGGCCACGTGAGGCTCTTGCCACCAAGCTTATGTTTTTGCCATGGAAATAGTCTCAGCTCCTGAAGCCATAGCATTGGACAGAATTGGGATATTTTCTGCAGAATTACTTGAACAGTTCAATGAAAAGATGCATTGTAGCAGGCCTCTGTCTTCCTTTCTCTCTGGAACTTCCTTGACAGATATACAGTATACTGCTGGCAGCTGTTGTTTAAAAAAATAAAGTTATATTTTCACTACCAAAAAACGTGCCGCTTTTTCTTTTTCCCTGTGGCCAGAGAACAAAAATCCCGCAAAACATCTGCATCTTTCAAGACGTCATTGTTTTGTGATTAGAGTAGCTGTGGGATTAAGAGCCATGGTAAGCTTAGGCCCCCTTTGTAATTAGCAGTGTGACATCACCTCTTTGTTTCTCTTAAAACGACGGGGACCAGCCGAGTGCCAGTGAGGCTCCCTCCTAGCACTGACATTTCATGCAGGAATAAGTGACGTTTTACAGTTGGGATGTTAAATCAACATGTTGGAATAAAACCGTAAATGAGCATCACTGGTATAAGAACATAACACTGGAATATCGGGAAGGACTTTCCCAGAGGGGAAGTTGTGTTGGGGAGCTGGTCCAGCCCTCAGTAATTGTCTCTGGATCCATCGCTTAGGTTCAGGGTGTCCCGGTATGGGAAGGACTGAACAAAGGACCTGGTGGAGTACTTACCAAGTACTTATTACACCCCAGGCAGTAAAAGTGGCGAGGGCTGGGGACACACAGATGAGGACCCAAGCCAGTCCCTGCCCTCCGTGCATTTACATTCTCTTGGGGAAAAGAAGCCAAAGGGGTGAGGGGTACCAAGCCCTGAATGGTTTGGAGCTGGTGTCTGGGAAGGAAGGCCATGGCTTGGTTCATGGTCAGGAGAAGGCATCAGGGTCACTTCTCAGAGCCAGGGCAGGTCCTAGAAGGGGATGGGAGAGTCCACATTCCTGGTGCAGAAGACGGTCAGAGCAAAGGCAGCGTGCTTGGAACTGGTAAGCAGGAAGCCATCCTCGAGTGAATGTTGGCCCATTTACCCCACCTCTCACATGCTTTACAGTCTGGGGGCTGGAGAATCAGGAGAATTAAGTCAGAAAGTCAGACATAAATAAACTCAGTGGCATTTTTTTCCCTTCTATTGTCGAATTCCCTGAAATACCTTATCTATTAAACTGTAGTCCTCTCTGTGGACTCTGGAAAATTTACAGATAATTATTTTCGGAGTCCAGCTAAAACCACAAGAATGGACCCAGTACATGGGGAGAGCCAGGCTTCCCCTGCTTCCTCTTCCACATCCTTCGCTGTAATTACAATTCTCACAGCTGCCAAAACATAGGTTTTGGTGCAGAGGTTACAGACGATCCCTTGCTTCCCCACTAATCACTGTGATGGGAAACAAGGAAGACCGGGGAGACGTCACTGACAGAAGGTCACTCTGTGGCTGCATCCTCCTGAGTGGATTCAACATTGCATCTGGCTGTCCAGAAAGTGGAGATGCTTCGAGAAAGACACCTCAAGATTTGGAGCATCCCTCTTCTCTAACCTTCTTGAGGCCTCGGTTGGTGGTAAATGTCCTTTGGGGGCAGCTAGGTGGCACAGTGGATGGAGCACTGGCCCTGGAGTCAGGAGGACCTGAGTTCAAATTCAGCCTCAGACACTTACTAGCTGGGTGTCCTTGGGCAAGTCACTTACCCCATTGCCAAAAAAAAGAAAAAAAATGTCCTTCAGTACATTTGAGGACGTGGTAAGTTCTATACTTAGAGTGCTGGTTTTCTTTCTTGCTGTGACCACTGGTTTACCCCCCCCCCCCACACACACACACTCATTTAGAGAAGCATTTAGTGTAATAGAAGAACCTGTACTGGTTCTTTTCA